GGGAGTACTTAAAAAGTACTTCGGACTTGCCGCACCAATTGGAATTGATGTTGTGAATATGGATGGATAGAGCCTCGGAAAATTTCAGTAAACTTGGTTTTAGTGTTATAAATAGAATATCTCGACTGGAAAGACATGATGTTTCTGTTTAAATAGATATTGCTTAATTGAAGATCTGGTTCTTTCCTGCCAAGGACGTAACGGTTTCAAAGTTTTCGTTCATCTTCTTCCTAAACCACACCGTGATGTGTCCGGCGATACGGTGACGCCAGCGCCTCCGTCCCGCCTAAGTAGATGGCCGAGCAATCACACTTAAAATGTTGAATTTAATTTAATTTGGCAGAATGACACAATGGATCTTTTACCGGTGTCAGTGGTATCCCGTAGGTAATGAAGACAATGATTGGGTCAAGCGCGTAATATATGTGCTTCACCGTATAGGGCAACTGCTAGCTGACATTATCATCTTTGTAGGAAAACTTTAAAAAAGCGTTCATTTTGGGGACAATCATTGATTTTTCTACTTTTGGTGTTGCTTTAGCATGTCTGGCAACGACTGCAACTGAACAATAGCAGGCTTGAAGTTTCTATTCGTTTTGGTGAGTGACCACCACCTCGTTTTCATTTGTTCAAGTTATTGTGATGTTGTTTTTTTGTTGAAAAGAGAAGCCTTCTCTTCGTCTAACGTCTTTGAATGTTTCACTGACTGTAAAACCATATTGAATGAAGTGCGTATTTGTACAAATGAGGCGAAATGAGCATGTATTCATTTTTATATTCAAGCTGTAGAAACACCGAATTGCAGTCGTGCGTGGTGAAGATAGAGCCAGGAGGAGTATGACGCCAGCAGACAGCTATTGCAGGCTGCCGAATGTGTGAAAATCACTTTCAAATCGATTAAATGCGAGAATGTGTGATTGTATATGATCTACTGACGGGTTGAGCTGTGGTTAACCCGTAGGAATTCACATCCCAATGGAGATTAACTGAGAGGAATTCTAATTTTACACTACTACTACTGATGAGTACTTGTGAATTTTGATGTAAAATGTACATTGTTGGTTTCGTACATCAGAATCATTTTATTATTCCTTCGTCTGGTCTTCTCTCAATACCGTTGACATTCGTTTAATCATTTGATTGCTTTTTTTGCATAACCAGGAGAATTCGTAGTTTTTCTCAGTCACTACTGATTGTATAGATGGACACGCAGAATTAGAAGGCTCAATAAGAATGGCTTCAATCACAAGAGTTTACTTGTGACCTCTCTCATTTCTCGACTATTGCTTTACCTATCTGCATTCCTTATTTCCCAACAGTTCATTGTTTCCTTATCCCTTATCATCCCATTCCCTTATCACAAATGCACAAATCACTTAAATTATGCAGCTGACCTTGGTTCAGGTTATGCCTCATGTGTCCTGTTCTGAGTGCTCCTCAGGAGATAAGCTCTCAGGTTGATAACAATATCCATTCGCTCCTGTCATCGTGAAGAGAGAGATCGCATTGTTATGCACATAAATATGTCGCTCTCTTGTTATTGGCTCCGATTTGGGGAGCTTTGTGTCAATGTCCGGTGCAAAAAATCTTGTCAGAATCTGTTTATTTTCTTGTTTGACACTGTACCGAGTTGCTCCTTTTGAAGCACCATGATTGCAAAGTGCATCTTAACACAGCAGACAGGAGAGCACTCGTTTGAGCCTTGTAGAGGGCTTTCACTCACAAATTGAGGTTTGTATGTTTTCACTGAGGCATTAATTGTTTGATATAAATGATATCCTATCCCAAGACAGTCTGGGTTTTCATTGCGTTGAATCCCAGGTCTGATGCGTCACTTTATTTTTAGGCTTATTACGAGAAGGCAGTTCATCAAATTTCACAGACAATGAATAAATTTGAATTTTCCGATATACGAAGTCTTTCCGGTACGAAATGTAAGAAATAAAAAGCTTCACAAAGGAAATATGTGCGCGATTGAAATCGAGATAAAAATTCCTCTGCACGCTCGTTAAACCAATTTCAGATGAAGGTGATAAGTGCGTTGTTCGTTATGAAGCAATATAACTTCGAGTAAAACGAAACTTTGTTTCAGGAGATTAAGAACGATTACAAATGCGAACATCAGATATAACCAGTCAAACTGGGAGTGAGAAGAGGGAAATATTTGAAAAACATCCAATATGATGAAGACTGAAAGAAGCAACCTGTGTGGGAAATTTTATAATCATCGAGAGAATGTTTTGGTCATGTAGCGTCAATCTGTCAACCACTGCTGAAAGGTTTGAAAGTACTGTAGTGATTTATGATTTCCCAGGAAGTGTATCACGCTGTGGCAACTTCCGCCATGCAGATAGCGATATTGGAGTAAAATTGATCTATTAGGAAGTGACAAACTGACCTTGACTAGTGCGGTGCATAACTGACAGCTCCAGTGGTTAGTGTTTCGGATGCGAACCCCAATTGATTCAGTTTGCATGCACAGCCAGAGATACCGAGTAAGACGTTAACAGTAGTAAAGTACCCCCAAAGTCCCTTGATTAGTGAGTCATATGATGGATGTACACGGAGGGCTCGCTTTCATGAAAAAATGAAAAAAACCGATGATGTTCCTTGAGTGTGTGCTCCAGTGGCTTATAGATTGGTGTCACAAGTCCAAAAGTATAGTGGTTTGCTGTGATATGTCCATTATTTTCAAACACCGCTTCTGGGCGCGCGAATCGGCCCGTAGAGTATGATTTTACGCATTTCAGCTATTAACTGAATCCACAACTTGAAGCTTTTTCATAGATAGGACACAAGCCTCATGCACTTTAGTGCTCCGATCACTATGATTCATGTCAGCCCTCGATTAGAGTAGATGAGATAGTGATCAACAAAAGAGTCACCAAAGACACGTAAAACTTGGTCCCGACAAGTCTTCCTACGTGGAACCATATTGTTCGGGATGTGATCAAAAAATGAGGGTACACGTTTCGGTGAATTGCACGTTGGTCTGAAATGGGAGAACTGGTTTAGAAGTAAATTGGAGCACAGTGCAAAGTTATTTCTCTATTTTTTTTACATTTCGTTCAGTTTTAGTTCAGGTTCTCAACTTCATTTCTTCCGATTTTTCACTTTTACTTACTAATCAATAACCTAACCAGCTTTCTGTTCTCTCGGTGTATGCATCTCTTGTAGTAAACGGATAATAGAATATCACTTTGTGAAAAACACTAGTCGCTCTGTAGCTCAGCGTGTAAAAAGTATGCTGCACAAAATCAAGAATATCGTCAATCTTTCCGAAACTTCTCATCATTTTGTACTTTCGAAAATGTGAAAATTTTCATGGAGCGCGATAGACTAAACATTACGTAAAATCTGCAGTTTGAGTAGACAAAACTCTCAACTGTGTTTACTACTCATAAGTAACTAAAGAAAAAACGAGAAAATATAGATATTCATCCAAGGCTATTTTGCAGATTGATGCGCCATGTTCTAAGATATGTTTCTACAGAATTTCCAGCCAAAGACGAGAAATATGGGTTGTAAACCGATAGGAAACTGAGAAACAGCAATTCGGCATCACAAACCAGATATCTGGAANTCGAGTTGTTTTGGGTGTCTCAAAGCTTGTGATTGTTTTGATCAAACCTCTTCATGAATGTGTGTCCATAGCTGAAGGGATAGCACGAAAAAGGTGAAATTCACTAGGCCCTGCAAGGATGTCTCATCTTATTGCAATGTCTAGAGATTTCGGCTCGGCCAGACAGGTTTTCGTGTTGCTGGTCCTTTGAGGATCAAAAAATAGAACACATTGTTGAATGCTGTGCATAGATTTAAAACAATTGTCCTGTGCTCTATATCAGCAACCAAACACAAAATTCAAATCAATTCAAAAAGTTACCACATTACACCCTCGGGTGTGTATTTAGCTGTAGAATACCAAACAGGTAAATAATAGAGGGGCAATTAAATCCAATATTATTATTATGGAATTAAATTATTGTTACTGATAAATCACAAAAGAATACTGTTTTGATGTTGTGAAACTTTCATTGACAACACAACTGATACCTCGATATTTAGTGGGTTATTTGAACGAATTTATCGGAATAAAATATGGATGCGACAAACTTCCTCCATATCTTATAACCATCAATATCCAACTGAAAATAAGCTTTCAGTGGTGACTATTTCTTTGTCAGTTTTAAACCGCTTCGCCGGTCGCATAACAAGCTAATCAACGGATATCCTATTTACCGGACTCGTTTGAGAACTTCCATGCTAAAAGTTGGTTGTGGCCACTTCTACCGCTGTGCCTCACTCATGCACACACCACAAAGAGCCTAACCACTAAATATGATATTAATACAAAAATAAGGCGTTTGGATGAATAGTACCACACTGTTCAGTCATTAATGGCATCTTTCGAACTTCACATTTTTCGACCGGCATCAAGATCCACCAGTCTGTCAATTCGGTGCCACAGTAAACGACGAAGCAGCTGAACCTCTTCCAGCGAAACTAATTACCCCATTGCAGACCATTCTTTTAGACAGTTAACCGGATATGCAAGGTTGAAGAAACCTTAAGCACATCCTGATCGCATGCAATGAGGAATTAAATGCTTATTGGAGGGAAAACGAGAGCTGATTAACTTGGTCGTCTTTATTTGTTTTTCTTTTAATCAGAACGGGGCAACACGGGAGAGATATGCGCTATTGAGTTAGGTGAATATTTTAATGTTTCTATGCAAACCCTCAGGATGGTCAATACTCCCGAAAGTGCTGCACATGTTATGCTGAAAGAAAATATCAATCGCCCGTTTGAAGCGGAGAAGACTCCGTTTTTTTGGAGTGCCCCACCGCTATTACATAACAAATGGTTATTGGTGCGATTTATCAGCGAATCATCGTCATCGTCATGATTCGAATCGTCATCATCATCATCATCATCATCATCATCCATCATTATCATCATCATCATCATGATCATCATTATCATCATCATCATCATCATCATCATCCGATCATCACCTCATCATCATCATCATCATCATCATCATCATCATCATCATCATCATCCAAATCATCCTCCGTATCACCATCATCATCATCATCATCATCATCATCATCATCATCATCATCATCATCATCATCGGAATAATCATCATCCGAATGACCATCATCCGAATCATCATCATCATCTTCCTCCGAATCATCATCATCATCATCATCATCATCATCCGAATCATCATCATCATCATTATCATCATCATCATCATCATCATCATCCGGATCATCATCAACATCTTCATTATCATCATCAACATCATCATCACAATCATCATCCGAATCATCATCATCATCATAATTATCATTATCATCACCATCATCATCATCATCAACATCCAAATCATCATCATCCGAATCATCATCATCATCATCATCATCATCATCATCATCATCATCATCATTGTAAAAGATTTGCGAATCCTGTATTATTGAAATTTTAACTTTTATCCATTTTTGCGCTACAAGACATCCAAACCGGTTGTGCCCTATACGAAATCTAAAATTTATATGCTTTTCCTCTTTTTCTATTTCTTTCTGTTTAACTGCAATACTGCCTTTTATAATTGTTGATTTTCAATTCTGACCTTGATGTGCTAGTGAAATCGACGTCATGTCAATCTAGTCGTGAGTGCCTATCTCTTATATATTTGCTACTGTTATTATTTATAGAACCACGTTCAATATTATTTCTACTGCCCAAAGCTGTTTTTATTCTACCCAGACCGTGCGTTTAGACCAGATTAACAGGATCGGTATTTATTGTTAGCTCCCGCTGTTATACTTAGTTGATACGTCCTACCGTTCGCGCTGGTTTCGAGCTATCACAGGTGTATTCATCGTAGAATCTATAATTGCTATTTGAATTTCGTCGTACGTACTATCAGATTGCGTTTCCGTAACAACCATCATCATCATCATCATCCGAGTAATCATCCGAGTCATCTGAGTCATCATCATCATGAGCATCTTCCACATCCTCATCATCTCATTGGGATTGGAGAATTCGCTTTCACTGGGTTTCTAATGTGGTAATAATGGTTTAAAACTTGTTCACATTGTAGACGGCATTTGTTTATCTGATTTAATTATTCGAACCATACTAGCCATTTCCGGCTCCCTAGTTTCATCGCGACCCAGGTGCTTCACATGAGTATGAACCTGTCGTGTGATCGTGTCACGTACACTGAAAATGCAAGGGTTCCCAAACAAGTGTGGAGATGAATCTTTTTCTAAGCCAGAAACAAAAGAGTTTATTCATGCATCTGTCTACACTGTCATCGCAATCAATCAGTGGCAAGTGCTCCTGTAAAGACACCATACTGTATTTGATCTCTCTAGGAGTTACCTTTATCATCCAGCGGGAGAGGTAGCAGCCAGTAATCTTGTTTTCTACTTTTTTCCTACAGTTAAGCTATTTTGAACTGTTGACAAAATATTGAAAATTGGTTCTCGTAGCTCGGGTGAACTGAATTCCATTTCGCCTGTTCGCCGAGCTTGGAAATTAGTGTGACATCATTAGTGCTTCATAAGCATGAAACGTTTGCAAACAAATTGGGGAGATTGGCGAACGGGAGAAATGGAACTATTTTGAACTTTTGCCGTAGTAACAAGATCACCAGTATAAACCACTGTGTATACCATGAATTTGCTCCTACCACGATAGTATTTCTCATGCAGATAGAACTGCTCAAGTTGACCGATAGATAAATTTAGATTCATGCACGTTTCACACTTGATTCGGTGATTTCATCGACATGCTTTTCATTCGGCATCCATGTACACACAACGTACATCTTTTATTACATGATTAGCAGTTCCACAGGATGTCAAACATTCCATTGTAATCCAATGTTTCCCATTTGTTCTTCCTCAACATGTTCATCTCCTTTCCCAAATTTTTGGTTTCCCGTAAAAATGTACCATACTGATCAGGAAGCATCATTATTGGGCATTTTGGTGGACTGTAATTCTACAAACCAGAACAGTTCAATGTGACTCATAGTTCAGAATGCTTCTACTCCACTAAAATTGCATTTTCGATGTGTTTGTTCACTCGCTTTTAATAAACCGATCCATTTGGGTGAAAAAATCGCAATTCCGATTTATTCATGATGGGCAATATTTTGTGACTGTCAATACAGGGTACCGGGCCGCCATTACTCTCTTATCGTCAGCCGAGTGCGGTAGACGGAGCGGAACGAACGATGTCGGACATTTGCAGCGAATGACTACATTCGGACTTTTAGAAGTTTTCCTTTGGCGTAAACCAATCGATTTGTTGTGCCTGGATCTGTGAGAAACCGAATATGACAATCCACAAAATTTCTTAATAAATAAAGTTTATTCCTTCCCCAAATACAACAAAATAATTTCAAAATATTCGAATTTATTCCCACATCCTATCATCAATACTAACTATATGTTGATCTCAAATACGCTCTACTCGTACAACAAGATGGACAGAATCACGCGTGACCACGACGTCGGCGGTGATTATGAGAAAACCCAGTTTCCACTGACCACGTAAATATTTTGACTGGTTTTAGATCATCTGAGTTTTGGAATCTTATCATCGTTGTACGGTTACCATTTGAATATTTACTCGTTCGTACACGAATACCTTTCTGATCACGTGGAACTTATCACGTGACCAGTTCAGGTTAGAAAGCTTTAAATGACTCCTTGGAAGTGAACAATGTGTTTCTGTGTCCGGGGAGGAGTTGTAAAGATAACCAGTTTGTTGTATTGATTTAAGTGGCTCGTAATTGTTTATCCTGTTGTGACGTAATAGTTCCTGTCTGTCCTGAACGACTAAAAATCCTCCTTCCGCTGGTTACTGGAACAAACACCATCTTTTGCGAGAGTAAGGGTAGTTGTATCCCACTTAATTACGCCCACTCAAATTAAAAAAATGTGGCGATAAAATACTCTTTTCGACTTTTTCGGATCACCTTCTGTCTAACCCTCAAATGACGGGAGAGACAGTTTTATGAGCTTCGAGTTGGTGTGTGTGTGTGTGTATGTGTGATAGCTCCGCGTGGGTTAGATCGCGACTTTGAAGCGAGTTAAAGCATGACTCCTACAGAAACTTAATCGCAGGATAAACTACCTTCTATGTTGTCTGTTGAAAAGTTTACAACACTTGACGAAATCAATAAAGTTTTGAGAAATGAAATAACTGAGCTTGAGGTAAATAGTGAAATGATTTGTTGTTGGTAACATTCCGATTTCAATGCAATATGATTTTGAATCTTATAAAAGTTTTTTTCAATTATCCATTATATTATTTTTCTGTTGTTTGCAGGAAATGATGATGTCTCCGTAGATCTGGTTGCTGTTTGTGGTTCATTCACTAAATCTGTTGTTGATCATCTGTGAGCCATTTCTTCTTCTGTGATCCTCTGATAAATAGACAAGCCACTTCGATCAATTACGGACTTCAATCTGCTGTATGTATTCAGGCTATTGATTCCGGTCATTGAAACACCCTCTCAGGGGTGGTGTTTAAATTCCATGAGATGGTCAGCTAACTGCACTTCGTGAATGTACCGTATAAGAGAGCTTTTGATTTTCCGCTTTGCTTTTCCAAAACTCGACTGTACATTCATGTTTTCGATGGATGGAATTAACAGATTTTGAAACATCCTCATCGATCCAATAAACACAAAATGATAAAACGGAGAAATTTCTTTTCGCCATTCCGCATCAGGCATTTAAATAAAAAATGGAGTACGATAAATCAAATACGGAATGAACAACTTTCCTTAAAGCGGCTAAACTCGCGTCCGAGTTTTTAATTTACAGGTCAGCGGAGGGTGATAATCTGACGAAACGCCTGTTTCGGCTCGCCCAGATATGCACCAGTTTTCGTGTGGCAACATTTCAAATCATTTGAAATCCACTCCCGAAATTCATCATCCCCCGCTGTCAAGTGGATTGAAAACTCTTGGGCGAAAGCTGTTCATTTGCGGTTTGATTTATCGCACCCTATATGCGTGAACAGCTGATATAAAATTCTGGGGTAATTTTTTTCGCATAACGATATTTCTGCGAGAAAACAAGTTAGCAAACAAATTCGCTTTTTGATGCTTCATCGCCGGGCTAAATACTGCACAGTTTTGTCATGTAGTTGTCCCTCTCTATATCGCGGTTCCCTTATTGCGGCTTTCTTTCATCGTGGTTTTTATTGCTAAATACGGCGAAAATGTTTGTGATAACCAACAAAGAGCACTGGACAGTTGTTTCGTTTTGTTTGGGGCTCGTGTCCCTGTCAGGACTCGTACCGCTAACTATGGGATGGGGTTTCCTTACCCCTGAGCCACACACCCGATGGTCATCATTCTATGCGAATGGCTCAATCAATTTAGACTGTGAATTTTAGGATTAACCCATTCGGTTTTTCACAGGTACTAAACACCGTTGATGAGCCTTGGTGTGGGTTTCATTCCTTGGGAGATTGTTAATTCCACACTAGTTGAATGTACTGCCGATTAGTCTCAAACAGGAAAAAGACAGCTGTCCAGTGCACTTTGTCGGTTATTACAAACATTTTCTTCGCATTTAAACACATAACTAGTATGGAATCAACAATCTTCCAAAGAAAAAGGCACATAAGTCAAAAAAGATGAACAAATTAGAACGAAATACCATGACTGTGATAGAATATGTGAGTGATATTCATCTCTCGCTGTGTGTGTACGTGAGAGTGTGATTGAGGCAGTGAATGAGTCAATGTACGAGCAGCATGACACCAGATTATCAGTGGGAGACGACAAAGAGCCTAGTACTTTTACGAACTTTTCATGAAGACAAGAAGGATGGAGCTGGGTGGATGTATTCGGTTGCGTCCGATGTAGCCACAAGTTGAGACCTAAAATATGTGGGTGACAAAATGCCGCTACAAAAGTCTTGGAGCCCCCTAGGTTTTCCGATTATCTCAGTTTCCACATGCAAAATCATCAAGATGTTTGAGGCTGCAAGTGAACTCGCAAATTTATTCTATGATTTTAATTATTCTTCTCACAAGTTGCTTTTCATTATTGTTGATCCTATTTTAAAAGGTTTCTCCTCATAAAACAGTAGACTTTTCAGGTGATCATATCTCTTCAGTGAATATTCACCTTCCAAATCCCATTGATTGTTTAAAAGATCTTATTACTGTTTGCGATGAAAACATGCATCTGGAATTTGAAGGAAAGCGCACCAACAAATTGACGGTATACCAATGGGCAGTCCC